AGGAGGCGCCCAGCGGGGACGAAGCGGCCGCGGCCGAGGCCAAGGAGGAGGAGGCGCAGGCGGGTGAGAGATGGGGACGGAACCCCGGGAGCGGGAGAGAGCCCGGAGCCTCGGGAAGGGATCCCGGGAACCGGGAAAGGATCTCGGGAACCGGGAGGGGATTTCGGGAAGGGATCCCGGGAACCGGGAGGGGATCGGGAAGGGATCCCGGGAGCGGGAAGGGATCTCGGGAAAGGATTCCCGGAACCGGGAAGGGATCTCGGGAAGGCATCCCCAGAGCCCCGGGAGGGATTCCAAAGCCTCGGGAAGGGATTCCAGAACCGGGAAAAGATCCCCGAAAACCGGGAAGGGCCCCCCAGAACCCCGGGAGAAATTCCAGAGGCTCGGGAAGGGATCCCGGGAGCGGGAAGGGATCCCCAAAACCCCGGGAAAGAACCGGGAAAAGAATCCCTCAAATCATGAAAGATCCTCCAAAATCGAGAACCGGGATAAAAAAACCTTCCGGATTTTCCGGAGGGATCTCAAAAACCGGGAAAGAATTCCCAGATTTTCGCGTGGGATTCCAAAAACCGGGAGAAATAAACTCCAAAATCGGGAAAAGAAACCACTCCCCCCTCACAAAATTCCCGGTTTTCCCCCCAAAATTCCAATTTTCGCCTCAGAAATTGGGATTAAATCCCGTTCCCGGTAGGAAAAATCGGGATTTTGTGAGGGGGGGGAAAAAAGCGGGAAAAAAAAGCGGAGTTTGGAATATTTTGGAAGCGCGGGCTGAGGGGAAAATCAATGGAATTGTTGGAATTCCCCAATTCCGAGTTGGATCTTGAGGGAAAAACCGGGAAAAATTCCAGGTTTTTCAGGAAAAAAAAATCTGGGATGAGGGAAAAATTCAGGTTTCGGAGGGAAAATTCCCGATTTTTATGGATTTTTGAGGAAAATTCCCGGTTTTGAGGGGGAAAAGTTTGGAATTTGGGGAAACGATTCAAAGGAAAAGCGTTGGGAAAATCGGGGATTTTTTTGTTTTTAAGGAGAAATTAAAGGGAAAGTTTTGGGATTTGGAGGGGAAAAATGGTCGTTTTTGAGGGAAATATTGGGATTTTAGTAAGGAAAATGATGTTTTTTGAGGGAAAATTCTGATTTTTGAGGGGAAAATGTTAATTTTTGAGGGAAAATCCTGAATTTTGAATGTAAAAATTCTCGTTTTTGAGGGAAATATTGGGATTTTAGTAAGGAAAATGATGTTTTTTGAGGGAAAATCCTGATTTTTGAGGTGAAAATGTTGATTTTGGAGGAAAAATCCTGAATTTTGAGTGGAAAAAATTCTCGTTTTTGAGGGAAATATTGGGATATTTTAAGGAAAATTATGAATTTTGAGGGAAAAATCATCATTTTGAGGGAAAATCCTGAATTTTTGAGGTGAAAATCCTGAATTTTGAGGGGAAATCCTGGGGTTACAGGGGAAAATGTTAATTTTGGAGGGAAAATCCTGAATTTTGAATGAAAAAATTCTCGTTTTTGAGGGAAATATTGGGATTTTATTAAAGAAAATGATGGGTTTTGAGGGAAAAAAATCATTGTTTTGAGGGAAAATTCTGATTTTTGAGGGGAAAATGTTAATTTTGGAGGGAAAATCCTGAATTTTGAATGAAAAAATTCTCGTTTTTGAGGGAAATATTGGGATTTTATTAAGGAAAATGATGGGTTTTGAGGGAAAATCCTGAATTTTGACGGTAAAAATTCTTGGTTCTGAGGGAAATATTGGGATTTTTTAATGGAAATGATGAATTTTGAGGGAAAATCCTGCATTTTCAGGGTAAATATTCCCATTTTTGAGGGGAAAATGTGTTTTTTTTGTTAGGAAAATGATGTTTTTTGAGGGAAAATCCTGATTTTTGAGGTGAAAATGTTGATTTTGGAGGAAAAATCCTGAATTTTGAGTGGAAAAAATTCTTGGTTTTGAGGGAAATATTGGGATATTTTAAGGAAAATTATGAATTTTGAGGGAAAAATCATCATTTTGAGGGAAAATCCTGAATTTTGAGTGAAAAAATTCTCATTTTTGAGGGAAATATTGGGGTTTTTTAATGAAAATGATGAGTTTTGAGGGAAAAATCATAATTTTGAGGGAAAATCCTGAATTTCTGAGGTGAAAATCCTGAATTTTGAGGGAAAAATTCTCATTTTTGAGGGAAATATTGGGATTTTATTAAGGAAAATGATGGGTTTTGAGGGAAAAAAATCATTGTTTTGAGGGAAAATCCTGAATTTTGAGGGGAAAATGTTGAATTTGGAGGGAAAATCCTGAATTTTGAGGGGAAAAAATTCTTATTTTTGAGGGAAATATTGGGTTTTTTTAAGGAAAATGATGGGTTTTGAGGGAAAATCCTGAATTTTGAGGGGAAAATATTGAATTTTGAGTGAAAAAATTCTAATTTTTGAGGGAAATATTGGGTTTTTTTTAATGAAAATGATGAGTTTTGAGGGAAAAATCATCATTTTGAGGGAAAATCCTGAATTTCTGAGGTGAAAATCCTGAATTTTGAGGGAAAAATTCTCATTTTTGAGGGAAATATTGGGATTTTTTGAAGGAAAATGATGAGTTTAGAGGGAAAAATCATCATTTTGAGGGAAAATCCTGATTTTTGAGGGGGAAAATGTTGATTTTGGAGGGAAAATTCTGAATTTTCAGAGTGAAAGTTTCGTTTTTGAGGGAATAATTGGTATTTTTTTAAGGAAAATGTTGATTTTTGAGGGGAAAATGTTGATTTTTGAGGGGAAAATGTTGATTTTGGAGGGGAAAATGTTGATTTTGGAGGGGAAAATGTTGATTTTTGAGGGGAAAATGTTGATTTTTGAGGGGAAAATGCTGATTTTGGAGGGGAAAAAATGAAATTATTCCCGTTTTTACCTCAAACTTGGATTTTTATGGGCTAAAAGATGAAAAATCTCCATTGTGGGACACCGGAAAAAGATAAAAACTTGGATTTTATGGAAAAATTCCCAAATTTTTTTGGCTTTTTAGGATTTTTTTTCCTTTTCCATGGAAAATCCCAGGGAAATTTTCATTTTTTTTGAGGATTTTAAGTTTTTTTTGTGTTTTTTTAACTCATTCCCGCATTCAAAATTGGAATTTTTCCTTCCCCAGGTTTAATTTTGCCTTTCTAAAACTTGGAAAATTCATTAAAACTGAGAATTCCACGGAATATTTCCATTTAACTCATTTTTTAAGGAAAAATTTGGATTTTTAACCACTTTTTACCACTCTAAATCCCAAAAAAAACCATTGAAACTCCAAGATTTCCGTGGAATTCTTGGATTTAGTCGATTTTTAAGGAAAAAAATGAAAATTTCAGTTCAAATTCCACCTTCAAAACCTGAAAAAATCCAAGATTTTCATCGATTTAATTCAATTTTTAAATTAAATATCTCAATTCCAACATTTTTTAATCCCTAAAAATCCTGGAAAACCCCAAAATTCCCGAGGAATGCTCGGATTTTATTTCCCTAGAAGCAAAAAATCGTCATTGTGACCTTTTTTACCCCAAAAATTCATTAAAAATTGACATTTTTGTGAAATATCCCCGTTTAATTCAACTTTCAACTCAAAAATTCCTCATTTTAACCCCAAAAATCCAATTAAAAATTGATATTTTTATTGAATATCCACTTTTAACCCAAAAAATCATCACTTTAACCCCAAAAATCCAATTAAAAATTGATATTTTAATTGAATATTCAGCTTTTAACCCAAAGATTCATTGTTTTTACCCCAAAAATCCAATTAAAAATTGTTATTTTTATGGAATATTCAACTTTTAACCCAAAAAATCCTCATTTTAACCCCAAAAATCCAATTAAAAATTGACATTTTTACGGAATATTCAACTTTTAACCCAAAAATTCATCACTTTAACCCCAAAATACCAATTAAAAATCGATATTTTTATTGAATATTCACTTTTAACCCAAAAAATCCTCATTTTAACCCCCAAAAAACCGCTAAAAATTGATATTTTTATTGAATATCCATTTTAACCTAAAAAAATTCTCATTTTAACCCCAAAAATCCAATTAAAAATCAACATTTTTATGGAATATTCAACTTTTAACCCAAAAATCCTCATTTTAACCCCAAAAATCCAATTAAAAATTGATGTTTTTATTGAATATTCACCTCTTAACCCAAAAATTCCTCATTTTAACCTCAAAAATCCAATTAAAAATTGATATTTTTATGGAATATTCAACTTTTAACCCAAAAATTCCTCACTTTAACCCCAAAAATCCAAGTAAAAATCGATATTTTTATTGAATATTCATTTTAACCTAAAAAAATCCTCATTTTAACCCCAAAAATCCAATTAAAAATTGACATTTTTACAGAATATTCAACTTCTAACCCAAAAATTCCTCATTTTAACCCCAAAATACCAATTAAAAATCGATATTTTTATTGAACATTCAACTTTTAACCCCAAAATTCCTCATTTTAACCCCCAAAAAACACTTAAAAATCAATATTTTTATGGAATATTTGGAATTTTGGGGCTAAATTTGGGATTTTGGGGCTAAATTCGGGATTTTGGGGCTAAGTTTGGGATTTTTGGGGCTAAATTTGGGATTTTTGGGGCTAAATTTGGGATTTTGGGGCTAAATTTGGGATTTTTGGGGCTAAATTTGTGATTTTTTTGGGCTAAATTTGTGATTTTTGTCGCTAAATTTGGGATTTTTGGGCTAAATTTGGGATTTTGGGGCTAAATTTGGGATTTTTGGGGCTAAATTTGGGATTTTTGTCGCTAAATTTGGGGTTTTTGTCGCTAAATTCAGGATTTTTTGGGGATAAATTTGGGATTTTTGGGGCTAAATTCGGGATTTTGGGGCTAAATTTGGGGATTTTTGGGGCTAAATTTGGGGTTTTTGGGTCTAAATTCAGGATTTTGGGGCTAAATTTGGGATTTTTGTCGCTAAATTTGGGATTTATGGGGCTAAATTTGGGATTTTGGGGCTAAATTTGGGGTTTTTGGGCTAAATTTGGGATTTTGGGCTAAGTTTGGCATTTTTGGGCTAAATTTGGGATTTTGGGCTAAGTTTGGCATTTTTGGGCTAAATTCAGGATTTTTGGGGCTAAATTTGGGTTTTTTGGGGCTAAATTTGGGATTTTTGGGCTAAATTCGGGATTTTGGGGCTAAATTTGGGGATTTTTGGGGCTAAATTTGGGGTTTTTGGGTCTAAATTCAGGATTTTGGGGCTAAATTTGGGATTTTTGGGGCTAAATTTGGGATTTTGGGGCTAAATTTGGGATTTTTGGGGCTAAATTTGGGGTTTTTGGGGCTAAATTTGGCATTTTGGGGCTAAATTTGGGTTTTTTGAGGCTAAATTTGGGATTTTTGGGACTAAATTTGGGATTTTGGGGCTAAATTTGGGATTTCTTGGGGCTAAATTCGGAATTTTTGGGGCTAAATTTGGGATTTTGGGGCTAAATTTGGGGTTTTTGGGGTTAAATTTGGGATTTTTGGGGCTAAATTTGGGATTTTTGGGGCTAAATCTGGGATTTTGGGGCTAAATTCGTGATTTTTTGGGCTAAATTCGGTATTTTTGTCGCTAAATTCGGGATTTTGGGTTAAATTTGGGGTTTTTGGGGCTAAATTTGTGATTTTTGTCACTAAATTTGGGGTTTTTGGGCTAAATTTGTGATTTTTGTTGCTAAATTCGGGATTTTGGGGGCTAAATTTGGCATTTTTAGGCTAAATTTGGGGTTTTTGGGGTTAAATTTGTGATTTTTGGGGCTAAATTTGGGATTTTTTGGCTAAATTTGGGATTTTTGGGGCTAAATTTGGGATTTTGGGGCTAAATTTGGGATTTTGGGGCTGAATTTGGGATTTTTGGGGCTAAATTTGGAATTTTGGGGCTAAATTTGGGATTTTTGGTGCTAAATTCGGGATTTTGGGCTAAGTTTGGGATTTTTGGGGCTAAATTTGTGATTTTTGGGGCTAAATTTCGGATTTTTGGGGCTAAATTTGGGATTTTTGGGGCTAAATTTGGGATTTTTGGGGCTAAATTTGGGATTTTGGGGCTAAATTTGGGATTTTTGGGCTAAATTTGGGATTTTGGGGCTAAATTTGGGATTTTTGGGGCTAAATTCGGGATTTTTGGGGCTAAATTTGGGATTTTGGGGCTAAATTTGGGGTTTTTGGGGTTAAATTTGGGATTTTGGGGCTAAATTTGGGATTTTTGGTTCTAAATTCAGGATTTTGGGCTAAGTTTGGGATTTTTGGGGCTAAATTCGTGATTTTTGGGGCTAAATTTGGGATTTTGGGGCTAAATTTGGGATTTTGGGGCTAAATTCTGGATTTTGGGGCTAAATTTGGCATTTTTGGGCTAAATTTGGGGATTTTTGGGGCTAAATTTGTGATTTTGGGGCTAAATTCGGGATTTTGGGGCTAAATTCGGAATTTTGGGGCTAAATTTGTGATTTTTTGGGCTAAATTTGGGATTTTTGGGGCTAAATTTGGGATTTTTGTCGCTAAATTTGGGATTTTGGGGCCAAAATACGGGATTTTTGGGGCTAAATTTGGGATTTTGGGGCTAAATTCGTGATTTTTGGGGCTAAATTCGAGATTTTTGGGGCTAAATTCTGGATTTTGGGGTTAAATTCGGTATTTTTGTTGCTAAATTCGGGATTTTGGGTTAAATTTGGGGTTTTTGGGGCTGTTTGGGCAGGTGAGGAAGAGGAAGAGAAGGCGAAGGCGGGCGGCGCCGAGGCCGAGCGGCGCGGGGTGAAACGGCTCCGGGACGAGAAGGACGAGCACGGCCGCGCCTACCACGAGTTCCGTGAGGAGGCCTACAACAGCCGGTGGGAATTCCGGGAATTCCAGGAATTTTGGGAATTTTTGGGATTTTTTTGGGATTTTTTTGGGAATTTTTTCGATTTTTTTTCGATTTTTCTGGGTTTTTTCTGATTTTTTTATGATTTTTTTGGGGGGTTTTAAGGAGTTTTGGAATTGTTCTAGAGCAATTCCAAGATCAGGGAATTTCTGAGGATTCGGGAAATTTTGGGGATTTTGGGAATTTTTGGGAATTTTTTGGGATTTTTTTGGGATTTTTTTGGGAATTTTTTCGATTTTTTTTCGATTTTTCTGGGTTTTTTTCTGATTTTTTTATGATTTTTTTGAGGGTTTAAGGAGTTTTGGGATCATTTTAGAGCAATTCAAAAATCAGGGAATTCCTGAGGATTTGGGAATTTTTTCCTGGAATTTTTGGGAATTTTTTTGGATTTTTTTGGGAATTTTTCTGGAATTTTTTCAGTTTTTTTTTTTATTTTTCTCTGAATTTTTAAAGATTTTTTCCTGGTGATTTTAAGGAATTTTGGGATCATCCCGGAGATTCTGGACAAATCCCAAAATCAAGGAATTCCTGAGGATTTGGGGATTTTTCCTGGAATTTTCTTGGAATTTCCCTGGAATTTTTCCTGGAATTTTCTTGTATTTTTATTTATTTTTCCCATGGTTTTAAAAGGTTTGGAATCACCCAGAATCTTCCAGAAAAAAAATCTCAAAACCAGAGAATTCCCGAGGTTTTTTGGGAATTTTGGGGATTTTTCCTGGAATTTTTCCTGGAATTTTTCTTGGATTTTTTTTTTATTCTTATTTATTTTTCCCGTGGCTTTTTAAGGTTTGGAATCATCCAGAAACTTCCAGAAAAATCCCAAAACCAGAGAATTCCCAAGGAATTTTAGGAATTTTCCCACAATTTCCTCCACACCGAAACCCACGATCCCCAAATTCTCGGAAAACCCAAAAAATTCCCCAAAAAATTCCCCAAAAATTCTCAAAAAATTCCCCAAAAAATCCCCAAAAAATTCCCAAAAAATTCCCAAAAAAATTCCCAAAAAAATTTCCCAAAAAAATTTCCCAAAAAATTCCCAAAAAAATTCCCAAAAAAATTCCAAAAAAATTCCCAAAAAAATTCCCAAAAAATTCCAAAAAAAATTCCCCAAAAATTCCCCAAAAAAATCCCAAAAAAATTCCCAAAAAATCCAAAAAAATTCCCAAAAAAATCCCAAGAAATTCAAAAAATATTCCCAAAAAATTCCAAAAAAATTCCAAAAAAATTCCTAAAAAATTCCCAAAAAATTCCAAAAAATTCCCCAAAAAATTCCCAAAAAAATTCCCCAAAAAAATTTCCCAAAAAATTCCCAAAAAAATTCCAAGAAAATTCCCAAAAAAATTCCCAAAAAAATTCCAAAAAAATTCCTAAAAAAATTCCTAAAAAAATCCCCAAAAAAATTCCCAAAAAATTCCCAAAAAATTCCCAAAAAATTCCCAAAAAAATCCCAAAAAATTCCAAAAAAAATTCCCAAAAAAATTCCCAAAAAAATCCCCCAAAAAACTCCCCAAAAATCCCAAAAAATTCCAAAAAAATTCCCCAAAAATTCCCCAAAAATTCCAAAAAAATTCCTAAAAAATTCCCAAAAAATTCCAAAAAATTTCCAAAAAAATTCCCAAAAAATTCCCAAAAAATCCCCCCAAAATTCCCAAAGAATTCCTAAAAAATTCCCAAAAGATTCCCAAAAAAATTCCCAAAAAATTCCCAAAAAAATTCCCAAAAAATTCCCAAAATTTTTTTTTTTTTTTGGGAATTCTTTTGGGATTTTGGGGAATTTTTTCCTCCCAGGAATCCCGGAATTTATCCCAAATTTTTGGGAATTTTTCCAGATCCAAATCGCCGCCGCCGCCGGAGGAGGAACCGCCCGAGGGGGAAGAGGACGAGAGCCTCGTCATCCTCGACACCTGTACGGGAATCCCGGGAATCCCGGGAATTCCAGAGGGTTCCAGGAATTTGGGATCCTTGGGGGAGGGGAGGGAGAATTCCCTGGAAGTTTTTGGGGGGATTTTGGGAATTTTTGGGGATTTTGGGGGGATTTTTTTGGAATTTTGGGGATTTTGGGGGGATTTTTTGGGATTTTTTGGGAGTTTTTTGGGATTTTTTGGGATCACTTTGGAATTTTTGGGGATTTTTTGGGGATTTTTTGGGGGGATTTTGGGATTTTTAGGGATTTTTCTGGATTTTTTTTGGATTTTTTTGGGATTTTTTGGGATCATTTTGGGATTTTTGGGGATTTTTTGGGATTTTTTGGGATGATTTTGGGATTTTTTGGGATCATTTTGGGATTTTTAGGGATTTTTCTGGATTTTTTTTGGATTTTTTGCGAATTTTTGGGATGATTTTGGGATTTTTCTGGATTTTTTTTGGATTTTGGGGGATTTTTGGGGATAATTTTGGGATTTTTTGGGGCAATTTTGGGATTTTTTTGGAAAGATTTTGGGAATTCCAGAAGTTTCCAGAGGATTCCAGGAATTTGGGATCCTTGGGGGAGGGGAGGGAGAATTCCCTGGAATTTTTTGGGGGGGATTTTGGGAATTTTGGGAATTTTTGGGGATTTTTTTTGGATTTTTTGGGAACTTTTGGGATGATTTTGGGATTTTTGGGAATTTTTTTAGGATTTTTTGGGATTTTTTGGGATCATTTTGGAATTTTTGGGGATATTTTGGGATTTTTGGGAATTTTTGGGACTTTTTTCGGGATAATTTTGGGGATTTTGGGAGTTTTCAGGACAGTTTTGGGATTTTTTGGGATCATTCTGGGATTTTTTGGGATCATTTGGGGATTTTTGGGGATTTTTTGGGAGTTTTTTGGGATTTTTTGGGATTTTTCCGGATGATTTTGGGGTTTTTGGGGAGTTTTTTGGGATGAGCTGGAGTTTTTTCGGGATTAGTCTGGGATTTTTTGGGATCATTTTGGGATTTTTTGGGATGATTTTGGGATTTTTGGGGATTTTCTGGGATCATTTTGGGATTTTTTTGCATTTTTTGGGATCATTTTGGGATTTTTTGGGGATTTTGGGATTTTTGGGGATTTTGGGGGATTTTTTGGGATTTTTTGGGATGAGCTGGAATTTTTTCCGGATTATTCTGGGATTGTTTGGGATCATTTTGGGATTTTGGGGGATTTTTTGGGATGTTTTTGGGATTTTTTGGGATGATTTTGGGATTTAGGGAATTTTGGGATCTGTTGTCCCCAGACACGTCGGGCCTGCAGTTCCGGGATGGGATTTGGGATTTGGGATTTTTGGGATTTGGGATTTGGGAATTTTGGGATTTTGGGATTTGGGAATTTTGGGATTTATGGGATTTATGGATTTTGGGATTTGGGATTTAGGGAATTTTGGGATTTTGGGATTCAGGAATTTTGGGAATTTTGGGATTTATGGAATTTTGGGATGTGTTGTCCCCAGACACGTCGGACCTGCAGTTCCGGGATGGGATTTGGGATGTGGAATTTGGGATTTGGGATTTGGAATTTTGGGATTTGGGAATTTTGGGATTTGGAATTTTGGGATTTGGAATTTGGGAATTGGGAATTTTGGGATTTATGGAAATTTGGGATTTGGGAATTTTGGGATTTATGGAATTTTGGGATTTGGTAATTTTGGGATTTATGGAATTTTGGGAATTTTGGGATTTATGGAATTTTGGGATTTATGGAATTTTGGGATTTGGGATTTATTGGGATTTAGGAATTTTGGGATTTGGGATTTAGGGAATTTGGGAATTTTGGGATTCAGGAATTTTGGGAATTTTGGGATTTATTTGGGAATTTTGGGATTTATGGATTTAGGGGTTTATGGATTTAGGGAATTTTGGGATTTTGGGATTCAGGAATTTTGGGAATTTTGGGATTTAGGGAATTTTGGGATTTATGGATGTGTTGTCCCCAGACACGTCGGACCTGCAGTTCCGGGATGGGAATTTTGGGATTTGGGATTTGAGAATTTTGGGATTTATGGAATTTTGGGATTTTGTAATTTTGGGATTTATGGAATTTGGGAATTTTGGGATTTATGGAATTTTGGGAATTTTGGGATTTATGGAATTTTGGGATTTTGTAATTTTGGGATTTATGGAATTTGGGAATTTTGGGATTCAGGAATTTTGGGAATTTTGGGATTTATGGATCTGTTGTCCCCAGACACGTCGGACCTGCAGTTCCGGGATGGGATTTGGGATTTTGGGATTTATGGATTTAGGAATTTGGGATTTAGGGAATTTGGGAATTTTGGGATTCAGGAATTTTGGGAATTTTGGGATTTATGGAATTTTGGGATGTGTTGTCCCCAGACACGTCGGACCTGCAGTTCCGGGATGGGATTTGGGATTTTGGGAATTTGGGAATTTTGGGATTTATGGAATTTTGGGATTTGGGAATTTTGGGATTCAGGAATTTTGGGAATTTTGGGAATTTTGGGATTTATGGAATTTTGGGATTTTGGGATTTATGGAATTTTGAGATTTGGGATTTAGGTATTTTGGGATTTAGGAAGTTTGGGATTTGGGATTTAGGGAATTTGGGAATTTTGGGATTCAGGAATTTTGGGAATTTTGGGATTTATGGAATTTTGGGATTTAGGGAATTTTGGGATGTGTTGTTCCCAGACACGTCGGACCTGCAGTTCCGGGATGGGATTTGGGATTTTGGGAATTCTGGGATTTTGGGATTTGGGATTTAGGATTTATTGGGATTTAGGAATTTTGGGATTTGGGAATTTTGGGATTTTGGGATTTATGGATTTAGGAATTTGGGATTTTGGGATTTAGGAATTTGGGATTTTGGGATTTAGGAATTTTGGGATTCAGGAATTTTGGGAATTTTGGGATTTAGGGAATTTTGGGATGTGTTGTCCCCAGACACGTCGGACCTGCAGTTCCGGGATGGGAATTTTGGGATTTGGGAATTTTGGGATTTATGGAATTTTGGGAATTTTGGGATTCAGGAATTTTGGGAATTTTGGGATTTATGGATTTAGGGATTTATGGATTTAGGGAATTTTGGGATTTTGGGATTCAGGAATTTTGGGATTTGGGATTTATGGAATTTTGGGATTTATGGATTTATGGAATTTTGGGATTTGGGAATTTTGGGAATTTTGGGATTTATGGAATTTTGGGAATTTTGGGATTTGGGAATTTTGGGATTTATGGAATTTTGGGATTTATGGAATTTTGGGAATTTTGGGATTTATGGATTTGTTGTCCCCAGACACGTCGGACCTGCAGTTCCGGGATGGGATTTGGGAATTTTGGGATTCAGGAATTTTGGGAATTTTGGGATTTAGGGATTTATGGATTTATGGAATTTTGGGATTTGGTAATTTTGGGATTCAGGAATTTTGGGAATTTTGGGATTTAGGGAATTTTGGGATCTGTTGTCCCCAGACACGTCGGACCTGCAGTTCCGGGATGGGATTTTGGGATTTTGGGATTTATGGAATTTTGGGATTTGGGATTTGGGAATTTTGGGAATTTTGGGATTCAGGAATTTTGGGAATTTTGGGAATTTTGGGATTTATGGAATTTAGGGATTTATGGAATTTTGGGATGTGTTGTCCCCAGACACGTCGGACCTGCAGTTCCGGGCCAGCCGGGACCGTTACGGGGGCCAGCCGCTCTTCTCCGAGAGATTCCCGGGACTCTGGGCCGGAGCCCGCAGCACCCACGGCGTCACCCGGGGCAGGGTGTGCTTCCAGGCCAGGGTGAGACAACAGCCGGAACAGCCGGAGTAACGGCAACAGCCGCCGGAACGGGCCACGGCAACAGCCGCCAGGATAGCGGGAATGGCGGTGGGAATGGGAACAGCCGGAATAACGGCAACAGCCACTGGGATAGCGGGAATGGTGATGGGAATGGGAATGGGAACAGCCGGAATAACGGCAACAGCCGGGATAGCGGGAATGGTGATGGGAATGGGAATGGGAACAGCCGGAATAACGGCAACAGCCGCCGGGATAGCGGGAATGACAGCGGGAACGGGGGGAATGGGAACAGCCGGAACGGGGGATGGCAACAACCGGGATAGCAGGAATGACGATGGGAATGGGGGGAATGGCAACAGCCGGAACGGGCCACGGCAACAGCCGCCGGGATAGTGGGAATGGTGATGGGAATGGGAACAGCTGGAATGGGGGACAGCAACAGCCGGAATGGGCCACGGCAACAACCGCCACTGGGATAGCGGGAGTGACGATGGGAATGGGAATGGGAACAGCCGGAATAACGGCGACAACCGCCGGGATAGCGGGAACGGTGATGGGAACAGAGGGAATGGGAACAGCCGGAACGGGGGACGGCAACAGCTGGATTGGGCCACGGCAACAGCCGGAATGGGCCACGGCAACAGCCACTGGGATAGCGGGAATGACAGTGGGAACGGGGGGAATGGGAACAGGCGGAATAACGGCAACAGCCGGAATGGGCCACGGCAACAGGCGCTGGGATAGCGGGAATGACGATGGGAATGGCAGGAATGGGAACAGCCGGAATAACGACAACAGCCGGGATAGCGGGAACGGTGATGGGAACAGAGGGAATGGGAACAGCCGGAACGGGGGATGGCAACAACCGGGATAGCAGGAATGACGATGGGAATGGGGGGAATGGCAACAGCCGGAACGGGCCACGGCAACAGCCGCCGGGATAGTGGGAATGGTGATGGGAATGGGAACAGCTGGAATGGGGGACAGCAACAGCCGGAATGGGCCACGGCAACAACCGCCACTGGGATAGCGGGAGTGACGATGGGAATGGGAATGGGAACAGCCGGAATAACGGCGACAACCGCCGGGATAGCGGGAACGGTGATGGGAACAGAGGGAATGGGAACAGCCGGAACGGGGGACGGCAACAGCTGGATTGGGCCACGGCAACAGCCGGAATGGGCCACGGCAACAGCCACTGGGATAGCGGGAATGACAGTGGGAACGGGGGGAATGGGAACAGGCGGAATAACGGCAACAGCCGGAATGGGCCACGGCAACAGGCGCTGGGATAGCGGGAATGACGATGGGAATGGCAGGAATGGGAACAGCCGGAATAACGACAACAGCCGGGATAGCGGGAACGGTGATGGGAACAGAGGGAATGGGAACAGCCGGAACGGGGGATGGCAACAACCGGGATAGCAGGAATGACGATGGGAATGGGGGGAATGGCAACAGCCGGAACGGGCCACGGCAACAGCCGGAACGGGCTGAGTAACAGCAACAGCCAGGATAGCGGGAATGGCGATGGGAACGGGGGGAATGGGAACAGCTGGAATACCGGGAACAGCCGGGATAGTGGGAATGATGATGGGAATGGTGGGAATGGGAACAGCCGGAATAACGGCAACAGCCGGAGCGAGCCACGGCAACAGCCGGGATAGCGGGAATGACGATGGGAATGGGGGGAATGGGAACAGCCGGAACGATGGCAACAACCGGGATAGCGGGAACGGTGATGGGAACAGAGAGAATGGGAACAGCCGGAGCGGTCCATGGCAGCAACAGCCGAGATAGCGGGAATGGCGATGGGAATGGGGGGAATGGGAACAGCCGGAATAACGGCAACAGCCGGAACGGGGGATGGCAACAACAGCCGGGATAGCGGGAATGATGGGAACAGCCGGGAATGATGGGAACAGGCGGGAATGATGGGAATGAGAACAGCTGGAATGGGAACAGCTGGAATGGGAACAGCGGGAACGATAGCAGGAATGACAGGGATGGGAACAGTGGGAATGACGGGAACAGCCGGAATGACGGGAGCATCCGGGAATAACGGGAACAGCCGGAATGATGGGAATGAGAACAGCTGGAATGGGAACAGCGGGAATGACGGGGAACAGCCAGAATGACAACAGTCAGAATGGGAACAGCCGGAATGATGGGAATAACGGGAACAGCCAGAATGATGGGAATGAGAACAGTCAGAATGGGAACAGCCGGAATGATGGGAATAACAGGAACAGCCAGAATGATGGGAATGAGAACAGCTGGAATGGGAACAGCGGGAATGACGGGGAACAGCCGGAATGACAACAGTCAGAATGGGAACAGCCGGAATGGTGGGAATAACGGGAACAGCTGGAACGACGGGAATGACAGCGGGAATGGGAACAGGGGGAGTGATGGGAATGACAGCGGGAATGACGGGAATGGGAACAGCCGGAATGACGGGAACAGCGGGAACGATGGGAACAGGCGGAATGACAACAGTGGGAATGATGGGAACAGCGGGAGTGACAACAGCAGGAACAACGAGAATGAGAACAGGCGGAATAATGGGAACAGCGGGAATGACGGGAACAGTGGGAATGACAATGGCAGGAATAATGGGAACAGCTGGAATGATGGGAACAGCCGGAATAACGGGAACAGCAGGAATGATGGGAACAGTGGGAATGACAATGGCAGGAATAATGGGAACAGCTGGAATGATGGGAATGGGAACAGTGGGAATGACAGGAACAGCCGGAATGATGGGAACAGGGAGAACAGGAACACGGGAATAACGGGAATGACAACAGCTGGAATAACGGGAACAGCCGGAATAATGGGAACAGCAGGAATGATGGGAACAGTGGGAATGACAACAGCCGGAATAATGGGAACAGCCGGAATGGGAACAGCCGGAATAACGGGAACAGCGGGAATGACAGTGGCAGGAATGACAAGAGGGAGAACAGGAACACAGGAATAACGGGAACAGGCGGAGTAACGGGAACAGGGAGAACAGGAACACGGGAATAACGGGAATGACAACAGCCGGAATAATGGGAACAGCCGGAATAATGGGAACAGCCGGAATAACGGGAACAGCCGGGAATGATGGGAACAGCCGGGAATAATGGGAACAGCGGGAATGGGAACAGCCGGAATGACGGGAACAGCCGGAATGATGGGAACAGGGGGAATGACAATGGCAGGAATGACAGCAGGGAGAACAGGAACACAGGAATAACGGGAACAGGCGGAATGACAACAGCCGGAATGATGGGAACAGCGGGAGTGACAACAGCAGGAACAACGGGAATGAGAACAGGCGGAATAACGGGAACAGGGAGAACAGGAACACGGGAATAACGGGAATGACAACAGCCGGAATAACGGGAATGAGAACAGGCGGAACAATGGGAACAGTGGGGGGGAACGGCAGCGGGAACAACGGGAAAGGGGAACAACGGGAAAGGGGAACAGCCGGAAACAACAGCCGGAAACAACAGCGAGAACGACGGGAAAAAACCGGGAAACGGGAATTGGGGTGGGAAAGGGGAATTTTGGGGGGGTTTTGAGGGAAATTTGGGAATTCTGGGGATTTTTTTTTGATTTTTGGGAACGTTTTGAGGGAGATTTGGGAATTTTGGGGGGATTTAGGGATTTTTGGAATTTTGAGGGAAATTTGGGAATTTTGGGGAATTTTTTTTGATTTTGGGGCTGTTTTGAGGGAGATTGGGGAATTTTGGGGAATTTTTTGGAATTTTTTGGAACATTTTGAGGGAAATTTGGGAATTTTGGGGAATTTTTTTGGATTTTTGGGATGTTTTGAGGGAGATTTGGGAATTTTGGGGGGAATTGAGGAATTTTTGGAATTTTGAGGGAGATTTGGGAATTTTAGGGAATTTTTTTGGATTTTTGGGAACGTTTTGAGGGAGATTTGGGAATTTTGGGTGGGGATGGAGGAATTTTTGGAATTTTGAGGGAAATTTGGGGGAATTTTTGGGGATTTTTGGTCTGTTCTGAGGGAGATTTGTGAATTTTGGGGGGATTTAGGGATTTTTGGTCTGTTCTGAGGGAGATTTGGGAATTTTGGGGAATTTTTTTGGATTTTTGGGAACGTTTTGAGGGAGATTTGGGAATTTTGGGGGAATTTAGGGATTTTTGAGCTGTTCTGAGGAAGATTTGTGAATTTCTGGGGGGATTTTTGAGCTGTTTCGGAGAGAATTCATGAATTTTTGGGGCGGTTTTGGAATTTTTGGCAAGATTTTGATTTTCCCGGGGATATTTTGGCAGAGCCTGGGGTGGATTCGGGGCTTTTGGTGCCCGTTTTTTTGGGGTTTGGGGTTTTTTTGGGGTTTTTCCCCGGTTGTTTGATGCCAAACGGGGAATTTTGCCGCAGGTGTCGCAGATCCTGCCCGGGAAGGAGGGCAGCTCCGAGGTGCCGCTGCTGCGCGTGGGCTGGTCCGTGGATTTCTCCCACTCCCAGCTGGGTGAGCCCAAAATCCCCAGATTTCGGCCCAAAATCATAAAATCTCAGCCCAAAATCCCCAAATTTCGGCCCAGAATCCCAAAATCTCAGCCCAAAATCCCAAATTTCGGCCCAAAATCCCCGAATTTCGGCCCAAAATCTCAAAATCTCAGCCCAAAATCCCGAGATTTGAGCCCAAAATCTCAAAATCTGGCACCAAAATCCCGAATTTCAGCCCAAATTCACAAAATCCTGCCCCAAAATCCCGAAGTTTCAGCCCAAAATCCCCAAATTTCAGCCCCAAAATCTCAGCCCAAAATCCCAAAATTTCGGCCCAAAATCTCAGCCCAAAATCCCAAAATCTCAGCCCAAAATCCCCAAATTTGAGCCCAAAATCCCCAAATTTCAGCCCAAAATCTCAAAATCTCAGCCCAAAATCCCAAAATTCAGCCCAAAATCCCAAAATTCAGCCCCAAAATCCCAAAATCCTGCCCCAAAATCCATTCCTGATCCCAGAATCCCAAAATCTCAGCTCAAAATCCCCAAATTCAGCCCCAAAATCCATTCCTGATCCCAAAATCCCCAAATTTCAGCCCAAAATCCCCAAATTTCAGCCCAAAATCCAGAGATTTCACCCCAAAATCTCAAAATCCGGTACCAAAATCCCAAAATTCAGCCCCAAAATCCATTCTTGATCCCAAAATCCCAAAATCTCAGCCCAAAATCTCCAAATCTCAGCCCAAAATCCCCAAATTCAGCCCAAAATCCAGAGATTTCACCCCAAAATCTCAAAATCCGGTACCAAAATCCCCAAATTCAGCCCCAAAATCCATTCCTGATCCCAGAATCCCAAAATCTCAGCCCAAAATCCCCAAATTTGAGCCCAAAATCCCGAAATTTCAGCCCAGAATCCCGGAATCTCAGCCCAAAATCCCCAAATTTCAGCCCAAAATGTCAAAATCTCAGCCCAAAATCCCCAAATTTCAGCCCAAAATCCCCAAATTTCAGCCCAAAATCTCAAAATCCGGCACCCAAATCCCCAAATTCAGCCCAAAATCCAAAAATTCAGCCCCAAAATCCCCAAATTTGAGCCCAAAATCCCGAAATTTCAGCCCAAAATCCCCAAATTTCAGCACAAAATCCCGAAATTTCAGCCCAGAATCCCAAAATCTCAGCTCAAAATCCCCAAATCTCAGGCCAAAATCTCAAAATCTCAGCCCAAAATCCCAAATTTCGGCCCAAAATCCCCAAATTTCGGCCCAAAATCTCAAAATCTCAGCCCAAAATCCCCAAATTTAACCCCAAAATCCCAAAATCTCAGCCCAAAATCCCGAGATTTGAGCCCAAAATCCCCAAATTTCACCCCAAAATCCCAAAATCCGGCACCAAAATCTCAAAATTCAGCCCCAAAATCCATTCCTGATCCCAAAATCCCCAAATTTGAGCCCAAAATCCCCAAATTTCACCCCAAAATCCCAAAATCCGGCACCAAAATCCCAAAATTCAGCTCCAAAATCCATTCCTGATCCCAAAATCTCAGCCCAAAATCCCCAAAAAATCTCAGCCCAAAATCCCAAAATTCAGCCCCAAATCCCCAAATTTCGGCCCCAAATCCCAAAATCTCAGCCCAAAATCCCAAAATCTGGCACCAAAATCCCAAAATCTCAGCCCAAAATCCCCAAATTTCATCCCAAAATCCCCAAATTTCAGCCCAAAATCCCAAAATCCGGCACCAAAATCCCAAAATTTCCATTTTCCCTCCCAAAATTCCCATTTTCCTCCCAAAAATTCCCATTTTTCTGCTTAAATTCCGATTTTCTCCCCGAAAATTCCCTTTTTCTCCCCAAAAAATTCCCAAAATTCCCATTTTTCCCCCCCCAAATTCCCATTTTCCTTCCCAAAATTCCCTTTTCCCCCCCCAAATTCCCATTTTCCCCCCAAAAAATTCCCATTTTCCTGCTTAAATTTTGATTTTCCCCTCCAAAAATTCCCATTTCCCCCCAAAAATTCCCATTTCCCCCAAAAAATTCCCATTTTTCCCCCCAAAATTCCCATTTTCCCTCCCAAAATTCCCATTTTCCTCCCAAAAATTCCCATTTTCCCCAAAAAAATTCCCATTTTTCTGCTTAAATTCCGATTTTCTCCCCGAAAATTCCCTTTTTCTCCCCAAAAAATTCCCCAAATTCCCATTTTCCCCCCCAAATCCCCCTTTTCCCGTGGGGAATTCCCGGAATTCCCGGAATTCCCTCTGCAGGCGAGGATGAGTTTTCCTACGGCTTCGACGGGCGGGGGCTGAAGGTGGAGAACGGGAAATTCCAGGAATTCGGGGAAAGCTTCGGAGAGAGCG